TTTTGTTCGCGTACCCCCTCTGTCGCCTCACGTACCCCAGTTTGGGAACCACTGTTCTACATTAAATATTTAGCTAACAACAGTCTGTTACCTAGCAACCGTGTATGTTAACGTTAGCTCAGTCAACGTAGGCTAACGTTAACAGGTGTAGACAGAAAATATGATTATCCTGACCTGAGCTAATATACTGAATCAACCAACTCACGTCTCCTTTCTTTCTTTCTTTCTTTCTTTCTTTTCATCCTGTTGCTGCTTCTGGCGTTTCATCGCTGACTGTGCCGCAACCGCGATACCTGCTCATTAGAACTTTCAGTGAGCTAATTTTAGAGTGCGCACTCGACATTCCTGGACTCGGACGCGCGAGTCTGTGCCCTGCTCGGTCCTGCTCCTCCGTGGCGATGACGGCGTGCGGTTAAAAAAATCATAACAAACGAAGTTGAAAGTGGGGGGGACACAAACGTGATTTTGAAAAGTGGGGGGGACATGTCTCCCCTGTCCCCAGTGGAAATTACGCCCCTGACTTTATCAATTATTTCATTTCTCAAGCCTTTACATTTTTCTCTGCATTTGTTCTGTAATGTTGTTACAAACAAGACATGTAGCAAGAAATAATTGAAAATCTGAAAAAGATAACTAATGTTGTGGACATGAACTAGCAAGTCAGATTCACTATAGTCTCATGAATTTGTCATTAACTCTCTCTCTCTCTCTCTCTCTCTCTCTCTCTCTGTCAGTGGGGTAGCCTATATGCACCTTTAAGATACTAATATACCATTTAGGGGTAAATAAGGTACAAAGTTATACCTTAGGGTTTTGTACCTTTGTACCTTTTTTTCTGAAAGTGTGGTAACTGTGATGATGAATTTTTCTTGCTCTAAAATGAGCCATCCAGTCATATATTGTGTCCCCAAAAAGTATTTGAACACTATTTGGGCATTTAAGTCACACTTTAAAAAAAAAAAAGAATTTAATTCAATTACATACATAATATCAGACCAAGTTACATTTGCTATTTAGTAATTTTTTAAGTCACCACTGACTTAAGAGGAGGGTTACAAGCTCAGTGGAGATCACTGGAAAGACAAATATAGAAAATTGACCAATAATAATAAAAAAAAAACTTCATTTTGCCTTTCATTATAATTAAATAGACATAGTGAGAGACTATTCATGAGAATATTCTACATTTCCACACCTCACCAGTCCCCTCTTTCCACTGTTGCTAATATTAATTGGCTGGCTCAAGAAACATCCAGTGTTATAGCCTACTGTTAAATAAACCCGCAAGTTATAGTGAAATGGTAGCGTTGCCAGGTATTGAGAGGCCATTGGAGTCGACCTAGACGGTCAGAACAGACTTCAAAAGGGCAGAAGGTAGATCTATTTGTTTTCTGGTAGTAGTTAGATTATAGAATCACCTAAACTACACACTAAGTTACTTGCACTACCCGATCTCAAGTGCGTATCAATAGCACGAGTTTATGTTTCGATTTGGCGTAGCCTACTGTTTATACGCAATGGGTAGGATTAGGGTTGCGGGGTAGATGCGTATCATATGTATGCGAAAACTGCATATCATTTGCACTCCAACAAATTTCGTATCGTATGCACGCGGTAATATGCACGCCAAACACGTGAGTATCATATGCACGCCAAGGTCAATTTTTGCTTATCAATACTACGATTTTCTGTTTTTATTTGGCGTACTATTTATACGCATTTTCACAGGGGCGTAGATTACGCGGGGGACGCGGGGCACGTGTCCCCCCCACTTTTAATATCATGTAAATTCGTCCCCCGCACTTTTTCGGGCAAGTGTGT